ACCCCAGAGCCGCCAGGCCCAATGTCTGTTCAGTGGGACTCGGTCCCAGGAGAAGCTGCTAAATCACTCACTGCCTCAGTGTGCAAACTTCTTCAACTTGGTGACAAGTGAAACTACATTCTGACAGCAACAGCAAGTTCCCTAGTACCCAGTGGCTTCCCTTTTTCTTCTTGGGATACTCCCTCCTGTTAAGTCACAGACGCATCCATCCAGCCCTCAGAACAGAGACAGGCAGCGCAACGCCACATCTGAACTCATGAGACGTGGAGGGCACTTCTTCTGAGTGCTTAAGTTCGAAACGGAAGCTACTTTTTCCTCTTTGACTTGAATGTATGAACAGACTCTGAACTGGACTCCACCAACATGATGGAAAGAATTCATGGACAATAAATTTGGGGGACACAAACAGGACCAGTCAGCCCTACATAAGGTGATAAAGGAAGCAAGTTGCCTTGGTTTCCCTTTTTCCTCCTCGTACACTCCCATCTGTCCTGCCTCTCTTGGTCTCAGCTGGCAGTCACTTCAAATCAGCAATGGTGTGATCCAGCGACTCAGATATTCATTAATAAATGCTGACAGTGCAGTCTTTTCTGTCATTAATACATATTAAAATACGAAGGAACTTGGGGGAAGGGAGTATATAGGGGAAATCTCTGTACGTTCCTCTCAATTTTGCTGTGACCCTAACAATGCCTTTTAAGAATTCTTTACAGGCTGAGCATAATGGTTCACGCCTGTAACCCCAGCACTTTGGGAGGCCGAAGTGGAAGAATTGCTTGAACCCAGGAGTCTGAGATCGTCCTGGACAACATAAAGAAACTATCTCTACAAAAAGTAAAAATAATTAGCTGGGCATGGTGGCGCACACCTGTAGTTTCAGCTTCTTGGGAGGCTAAGGCAGAAGGATCGCCTGAGCCCAGGAGGTTGCAGCTGCAGGGAGCTGTGATCATGCCACTGCACTCCAGCCTGGGCGACAGAGTAAGGCCTCGATGCACATAAATAAATTAATTAAAAGTATTTGAAAAATACAAAGGATGTGCCCTCCACATGGAAACTCATGGAGAGGCAAGGAAGGAAAGCTGTTGCGGTGGCATCTTGCATGTGGCATCAATGCTTTGGAGCAAGGGAAAGCCCATTTCTCCTACAAGTAAATGCCAGCCTAATGCATGGGTACCAATAAAGATGTGTGCTAGTCATGTGCAGGCACAGGCAGTGGCCCCAACCTCTCTATGCAGTCCATCCCCACACAACTGCCCTTTCTTGATGGCTAGAAGCATCAGGCCCCCTCACCCTCGAGGGTCGCTCTCAGGAGTTGGAATAGTGACAACGACCATGCCCAGGGAAGGCTGTGGACTTCTGACATGAAAACACTTAGCAGAAAGCCTTGAGAAAGGTCTAGGAGCAAGACACAAGCTGTCTAGACACTATCTAAATTGGGCGATCTGGTTTGGAGAGCTTCATGTTCTTAAAAAAGAGGAAATAATTTTTCCCCCCGTTTTTCACTGTGTGCCATAAGACATTTTCAACAAAACACAGAATCTCATTTCTTATTCTCTTTGGTTTGGGGGGCAGGTTTTTTGTTGTTGTTGTTTGTTTGTTTTTGAGTCGAGGTCTCGCTGTCACCCAGGCTGGAATACAGTGGCCCAATCACTGCCCACCACAGCCTCGACCTCCTGAACTCAGGCAATCCTTCCACCTCAGCCTCCCTAGTAGCTGAGATGACAGGTGCACACCACCTCACCCAGCTTATAATTTTGATTTTTTTTTTTTTTAAAGAGATGAGGTCTATGTTGCTTAGGCTTATTTTGAAGTCCTGGGCTCAAGCAGTCCTCACACTTCAGCCTCCCAAAGTTCTGGGATTACAGATGTGAGCTACCGTGTCCAGCCATGATCTCATTTCTTCAGACAGAAAATGTTTGCGAGACCGGCTCCTCCCTAGCACAGTGGCCTGGCTCACTCACTGTTCCTTCATAGGCAAGACACCAGGTGAACTGACAGAACTTGGCTGGAAGACTTCTGCAAGGCAGAGACTCCAAACCAAGGAATGTTCCCAAGTGCTTGCACTTATTGTGGGATTATTACTGCACCAAGGTTTTTCACACTATGTCTCATTCATCCTTCACAACAGTCCTAAAAGGGAAGAAATATCATTATCTCAGTCTTATCGGTGAAACTTAGCCAGGGTCAAACAGCTAGCACATGGCGGAGCTATGAGGTCCAAGAGCCTTTGCTGTGCCATGTACCTCTGCAGAGAGCTGTGCAGGTGGCATCCAGACACCGAAAGTTATAGTGAGTCTATTTGTTTGTGTGCATTCGCGTGTACACACATAGAAACCAGTCATGTAAGTACAGAGGTCAGTTCCTGGGTAGCCCAGAAAACCTCTCCCAGACTAGGATGAGAGAAATTTGGACTTAAAAACACTTTTTGGCCGAGCACAGTGGCTCACGCCTATAATCCCAGCACTTTGCAAGGCCGAGGCAGGAGGATTGCTTGAGTCCAGGAGTGCAAGACCAGCTATTTTAAAAATAAAATAGCCAGGCGTGGTGATGCACTCCTGTAGTCCCACCTACTCAGGAGGCTGAGGCAGAGGATCACCTGAGCCCCTAAAGTCATGGCTGTGGTTGATCATGCCACTGCACTCCAGCCTAAGTGACAAAACAAACAAACCCACTTTTTATTGAAAAAGATAAATCTGTATGTTGTATCATGTCACTAAGTATTTGAAATTGTGTGCCGTTTATTTCCTAAAAAAAAAAAAAAAATAGGTACTTGAGAAAAAGCAATTCCACTACAGAGCTACCTATCGCAGTGCACCCTGGGGAAGAGGTGACCTCGTGGCGAGGCAGTGACACAGGGAGAATTTGCTCTGAAGTGTCTAAGTTGCCTAAGACCCAAGAGCACTAAAAGTGAAACCATCCAGCCATCCTCCTCCATTTTCATTTTCAAACCAAAAATCCCCACTACGCAGAGGACCACTGCTCTCTATTGAGACGATTAGTGAAGGAATGGACGGCCTCACTCTCCACAACAGGTGGGTTCACAGAACAAAACGTGTGATAAATCCAATCCATTCCTGACATGCCCTGGCAAAGGTCACTATCTTAACAATCTCCAGGAGATCCTCTTTGTAATACCAAGAAGCCGATTGTGATGTTAACATCGTGTTTTGTAAATACCTTTTGGCGTTGTGCAAGGGTCACTCAGCCTGGAGCCATCCTCGGAGCTGTTTGGGTTTCTGGACTCCCAGTGGAATGGCCTAGCCTAGTGCTCGTTTGCATGAGACCAAAGACCCTCCTGTCAGAAATGTTATCCTTAGGGAAGAGGGCTTCTATGTGCGCTTGAACCAGTAAGAAAGGCTTGCACATTGGCGCGAACATTGAGGAGCCTAGATTCGCGTGTGTGTCAGTCTCTTTCCAGCTACCTTTGAATTCAAGTCAAGTTAGACCAAGAGAGGGAGCTGGGAACACAAGCTCTAGAAATGCCCCAAGGACCTCCTTTGACGTCCCCAGCAAAGAGGTGAGTGTCTCCTTCCCAATTCTGCCCCGAACCAAGTGACTCCAGTAATCAAGGTAGGGCTCCAGCAGACCCGGGGCCCACCCAGGCACCCCATGGGAGCAGGATCCTCATTCCTGGCAGTAGTGAAGAGACTCATGATGGTGGGGACAGTACTAGCAGCACAGGACAACACTCTGGCACGGAGCTGGAAGTCCTCACTGGGAGGATCCCCAAGGGAGACAGCAGGGCAGTGGCGGGCCTCCCCCAAGGTGAGAAGGAAACTGGCAGATGCCACGCACGCGGTGGCAAAAAGAAGTCACACACTCTGCCTGGAGACTCCTCGAAATAACTGCACGAGATTTGGGGGTGGCCAGACAGTTCTGCAACACCAAGTCACGGCCACAGCCAGGAAATAAAAGTACTCAGGTGACTGGTAGTATCTTTGTCACTGCAGCCTGGGGGGCTGTGATGTAGTCTAAGGAAACTCAGGTCAGAACATCTGAGGGTTTTTTTTTTTAACAAACACAAATTAACCGGAATGCTAAATTCTAGCCTGTTAATCTGGTGACTGAAGTATTTTTCTCAAAAACCATCATCAGGTTTAGCTTCTGTTTTTTTTTTTTTTTTTCTTCTTCTCTCCTTGTAAAACTTCGTGCATGACTTCAGCTTTACTTTCTTTGTCAAGACCCGCCAAAGTGCTGAGTCACTAGAAAGAGAAAAAGAAAAAAAAAAAGAAAGTAAAGGAAGCATGATCCTACTTCTCAGGGCCAGCCTGGTGATGACCTACTCTGCACTTTTTTCCCCCAGTTGTGATTCTTGCGATGCTAAAGGACGTCACATTGCACAATCTTAATAAGGTTTCCAATCAGCCCCACCCGCCCTGGCCCCACCCCCCACCCTCCCACA